ATCGCCTGACAACAATCGTGATGACATTGTATGTTATCGCCTGTTAATATCACTTGGTGACATTTTGATTACCACTCGTTTATCTTTACATATGTGATGTGTGCTTACACTTCACAGTAGTAAAGTAGAAGAAAGTAAACTCTATGTATATGAAGAAGTCTGTAAAAACTCTGAATCTGGTGATTTAGAAGTGTGTCTCAAGAGAGATTTTCAGGTAAGTTCTATTTATCATAACCAAACTTTACATAAAATTGTAGACTGCATTATCATTAAAATATTATTATTTTTGACGATAGTTATGTTGCAATCGTTTATCAGAGTTAGAATGACTTACTGTTACGTTCATAATCTTTATTTCAACTATCTTTTTTTTCTGTAGACATGTCAGGAAGATGATATACAGTTGCTTTGTTACCTTATTACACCAGTCTACAATCAGGTAGGTTTTCTTAGTCATACTATGTATGGATCACTGTGTGTTAGTGTGTTATATTCAAAAAATAAAATTCAATTAATATTCCACTTTCTGTTGCTTGTTAGTTTTCAGATGCTACTCTTGGAAACACAGATCTTTTACATATTATAGTGTCTTGTATTGATGCATCGCAGGTTAGTAACATTCCTATGCAAATTTCATTTCTGTCAGGGGTGAATTTAAATGTATGGTAAAGCAATATTTAATCAATGTCTTTTGACAGTGTTACCGGGGGGATTGAGACATTGGTTCAGGGTATCCAGTAGCATAAATACTGTACAACCGTTAAATATTCGTGTGTCTTTAATTTCATCATTTTTTCAAGCATCCATTTCACACATTCAAAATATCTCACTCATACAACAATGAAGTGAACACAATACAATGTGTATATTTACTGTCACTCTTCAATGATCACTAGTGGTAAGTAGTTATATTTACTGTCACTCTTCAATGACCACTAGTGGTAAGTAGTTATATTTACTGTCACTCTTCAATGACCACTAGTGGTAAGTAGTTATATTTACTGTCACTCTTCAATGACCACTAGTGGTAAGTAGTTATATTTACTGTCACTCTTCAATGACCACTAGTGGTAAGTAGTTATATTTACTGTCACTCTTCAATGACCACTAGTGGTAAGTAGTTATATTTACTGTCACTCTTCAATGACCACTAGTGGTAAGTAGTTATATTTACTGTCACTCTTCAATGACCACTAGTGGTAAGTAGTTATATTTACTGTCACTCTTCAATGACCACTAGTGGTAAGTAGTTATATTTACTGTCACTCTTCAATGACCACTAGTGGTAAGTAGTTATATTTACTGTCACTCTTCAATGACCACTAGTGGTAAGTAGTTATATTTACATGACAAATCAAATGTTATTGCATGCTATTTGTAAACAATAAAAAACAAAATGGTGTAACAGTGTTGTACCGTATCAGTAAAAACTCACTCGTTTAAATCAAATAAGGAACTACCCCCGCACCATTAATATGTTCCCATTATTTACATGGTATTTGTATAATTCTAGAGTAAATTTTAGTAAAACAGGTTTATAGAAATGCCTTGTGTGAACTTTACTTATATTTAATAAAAATTTTTAATTGCACCTGAGACATGCCAAGATGTGATGTGATGTATGCAACTTATTTCTTATTGCTGCGACATTTTTTGTTTTGAATTTGCAAAATATACATGAAAAAACATGAAATAAAACAAAATTTAATGATTCTATAGTATGTTCTCTTGTCCGGAATAATTGTTATGAGACTTTTTATTAGCTCCGCTGTTGACTTTGTCAAGCAGAGCTTAGCATATGAGTGATTGTTCGTCGTCGTCTGTGTCAATATTTTACTTTTTTGACTTCTTCTTGAAAACTACAAGCCTCAATGCTTCGATACTTTGTGTATATGTACCTTGGGTAGACCTCTCTTAGGTTTGTTCAATTCATGATGATATCTTCAATTCTCTAATTTTGATGATTATTTATGTCATTTATGGTGAAAAATGATATTTTTGAATTCTTGTTGAAAACAGCAAGTCCCATTGTATTGATACTATACATATTGTTCATTTTCTAATGATATCTTCAGTTCTTTAATTGTAATGTGAATTGCTAACAACGAAGCTATCTTTTAAATGTAAAAATGTATGTAACATTGTAACAGGTCAGGGTCATTATTGTAACTGTGTTTGTCTCCTGTCATGGATATAGTATGACACTATCTACCACATGGGATCCTCCCTTCCACCTACCTACACAGTACAAGTATTTTTGTTCAGCACTTCAGTTCATTTTGTAATTAATATCTTTCTTTCACTTTTACCAGTTACAAGACCTGATCTGTGAAATCATGCAAGGTAATCTGGTAATGTTCAAAGAAGAAGATTTAGTAAAGACTATTGGTAAATTAATATGGTTATCGTAACTTAATTTGTGCATTCCTGTTTTCATTATATTCTGATGATGTTAAATAGCATCAATATTTTGCCATATATAACTTTTATGATATTAATTTTTACACTATAAGCCTTTGGCCCAAAAGTACAAGACATCAAGTTAAAGAACAGAGCTCGATAAATCATAACAAACAAATTCAAATTGGATGACATATTATGTCACAATGCTCAATGTTCTTTGAATAATAGATATGAATATTCTGCAAAGTTATATAGGGTGGACGAAATGGTAGGACTAAGCTTATGCTATTTTTAATATTTGTTTTTGTTTTCCAGAAATTACACTGGAATGGGAGACATTTGAACAGTACTGTGTTTGGCAGCTGTTAATAGCTCATGATGATGTGCCTGTGGATCAGTTAACAGATTTAACACCTAAGCTTACTTACAAAGGTAAGATGTCAGTTTTCTGACAAAGTCTGTTGTGCATTTGTTGGTGATTGTCATATGAAATGATTGTAAGTCTTGTAAGTGTTCACCCCAGGCTTTGTGATGTATGAGTTAGGTTATAAATATTAAGTTACATATTATGCAGATCTTGCTCATAAAAACACCTGCCTGATTTCAGTATGCAAATTTACATCAAAAGATGCACACCCCACAACATTTACTTGAGCATTTTTTGCAATGATAGAAGCAAATGGATGGAAACACCAGTTGCATCACTCATGGTAATCAATGATTCAAAAACTGCCTAGGATAGCAAAATTGTTCATTTCAACTTTATATCCCAGAAGAGTTCTCATATTAGAGCTTGATTATATACTTAATTAATATTCCAACTTATATGATCGTCTTTATTTGCAGACCACCCAGAGGCTCTGACAAGTATTCTATTAATGCTGAAAAATGAAACGTGAGTTGTTGAATTGTTGCCATGACATTATCATGTATGTGATTATCATTATCTGCATGGGCATTTTTTACCATGCTTACATGAGCAAATGTGTTTAAGTTAGTTCTGGACACACAGAACTTGTGTTTTGTGTTTGTTCATTCTTTTTACTGACTGGTGACCATTCTTGTCACAAACCACAAAATATTAATTTGTCATCAACCATTTCTCAGACTGATTTTATTAAAACTTGGTATTGATATTGCCAATTGTGGGTTACTAATGCCTGTCATGTTGTTAATCATTTTTCAGAATGGCTGACTGGCAGCCATTTTGATGTTCAATAAGCACCAAAATCAAGCATTATTGCCATTCTGGAACCTGGATCATTGTGATGCATAGACAGATTTCACTCAGACGCGGTACATGAATTGAAAATAATAGAGACTTGTTGTGTGTCATTTTGTTGTTCAGATGAGATAGAAAATGAACTACTGTAAGACATTTTGTATTGATGAATGCCTTGAAAGATTGTAAACAAAATTTGTACACACATATCAATTCATTTCAACGTGGCTGACTTATTTAAGTTTTGTTTACTATTCAATAACAGAGACATCATGTCTTGTTAAATAATGATTTAAATTTTCTCTACAGTGCCAATTTTGATTTACTGAGGCCAATTTTAAACAGACCAGTAGTGGATTGTGACAAGTTCACCATATCAATACTCTCACATTGGGCACTTCAAGATGACAAAGTATTTTCTGAGCTTGTGAAGACAGTATGTGGTAAGGTGTGCACTGCTGCTAAAAGACAAAAACCCAGGTATAATACATTATCCATAAATTTATGAACTTGTTCAGAACATTACTTGATGTTTGGTAACACTTACACTGCTATCAACAGCACTGCTCATTACTTGATGTTTGGTAACACTTGCACTGCTATCAACAGCACTGCTCATTACTTGATGTTTGGTAACACTTGCACTGCTATCAACAGCACTGCTCATTACTTGATGTTTGGTAACACTTGCACTGCTATCAACAGCACTGCTCATTACTTGATGTTTGGTAACACTTACACTGCTATCAACAGCACTGCTCATTACTTGATGTTTGGTAACACTTGCACTGCTATCAACAGCACTGCTCATTACTTGATGTTTGGTAACACTTGCACTGCTATCAACAGCACTGCTCATTTCTATAAACTGATAATAAATCCTGTCTGACTTTGTATGGCTTAAATTCTGTACTGTAAAATTGTGTACATTTTTGTACATCAAAATTACCTGACAAAGAAAGATAATTGGTTTTAGAAATGGTGCATAATATGGTTACTGGCATTGAGGTGGCTAAGTTAAAAAGCAGACCACAGCCCACTTTTTTTCTTTTTGTCTGTTTTCTATTGTTTAAAAACAACATCTATTTATTCTCAGCAAATAAAAAAATACTTGATGTTTAATATTAAGGTACATGTCTTGTTTATTTGCATATTTAGTTTATTATTTTTAATATTTCACATAATTTGAAATTGTGATGTCACTAACTAGTCACCTTTTAAAATTCCAAAAAATAGATTGTTTGATGACCAGATAAATTATTTTTGTGAAAACTGTTTGAAATATGATCAATCTGAATGTTCTTACTATATACAGATAGTTTGAAAAAGACATTTGATGATTTCACCATTTCTAGATCTCCCAACCTTACAGTGGCACCACACAAGATTCTTTTTCTTCACTGAACCACCACTATTGATTGCTAAATTATTGTAAAGACCACAGAACTAGCTTGCAATCTAATTTAAATGTTTCTCTATAACCGTAAATACATTGATGTATAATTAATTATTTGTATAATTGCAGTTGATAAACATATGCAGGAGACGGCATTCCTGTATGTGAATGAATAGAACGCTCTAAGACCTTTAGAACACATGAACACAAATAACGATTCCAATGCTAATATCTGTGAGGTTTCTGCCAATGAAACAGATGAAATGCACACATATATAAATAGCATTTCAAAATGTGTGACTATGTAATTTATAAAATTCTCGGGGGGGGGGGGGGGTATAAAAATTACTACACTTATTTAATAAATACACGATCAAAAATTTTGAAATCTTCTATATATTGCTCTCACATCAGTGCTTTCTTGTATTATTCATTGCAGGCCAACTAAATTTCCTTTACCGTCTGTAAATCAAGTACTAGGTCATCTAGATGCACTGAAATTAACACCTGTTACAAAACAATGTACATGTGAGTATTATTGTTTTTGCTGTTTATGATACAACAACGAACACTAAATTTTGTTTATTATTCACAAGCAGAGATGCATAATGAGAACAAGTCATTGAAAATGACACAGTCCCCATTAAATTTTTGAAAGTTCTCTTTGAGCTTGTCATATTAAAGCGGAGGGATTGTCGCAAGCGTGTCCTTGAAACTTGAGTTCCAAGTGGCGTATACAACAGATTGTTTATTTACATCAAAACATGTGTTCCGTGTAGTAGTAATATGGCCAAAAATAAAAACAGCCGTTATTCGAGATGAGATGCCTGCCAGTCGATCATCTTTGATCCAATTGCGAAATAAATCGTCATGAACATGTATCCTAACATGCATATTCTATGTACCAAGTTTGAATGACAACTGACAAAGCATGTCCAAAATACAACATTTTCAAAAAACAAGATGGCTGCCAGTCGGCCATTTTAAATCAAATCGCTAAACCACTGCATGTGCATATGTACCACATAAGGTACTAGGCACATGCAAAGAATGAACGGAATCTGTTCACAGGATTCTGAAATATGACTCTGGACAGACTGACGGACAGACACACGGATGAACAGACGGACAGACTCAGGAACTCACGGACGGTCGGGGACATGTATCCTAACATGTATGATCTATGTACTAAATTTGAATGAAAACTGACAAAGCATGTCCAAAATACAACATTTTCAAAAAACAAGATGGCTGCCAGTCGGCCATCTTTGATCCAATTGTGAAATAAATCATCATGGACATGTATCCTAACATGTATAATCTATGTACCAAGTTTGAATGAAGACTGACAGAGCATGTCCAAAATACAACATTTTCAAAAAACAAGATGGCTGCCAGTCGGCCATTTTGAATCGAATCGCTAAACCATTGCATGTGCATATGTCCCACATAAAGTACTAGGCACATGCAAAGAATGAATGGAATCGGTCAAAGGGATTCTGAGATATGACTCTGGATGGACGCACGGACGGAGACCAAATTATAAGTCCCCGTTTTCGGACTTTGTCCGAACGAGGAACAATAACAAAAGAACAGTCTGGGTGTGTATATTTCTACTTTACCGAAGCCAACTAGGTATTACCATAAGCATGTTCAACACACAAACAACTAACAAACCAAACAGTGGTGCTAGGTAGTATCTAGTGAAGAGATTGACATGTTTTAAAATTATACGAATGTTCACATTGTTCATGTCTTTTTTGTTGTCACTGCAGTCTCTGCTGGTGAGTGCTTTCTCAATCGCTGCATATAAACAACATAAAAGCTTTTGTGTCCATAGTTGTGTTTTGTTGCTAAGCAATGAGCTATGATAGTACATTCTGCATAGTGCACACTGAGATGGATACAGTTTCGAGGACACTTCAACATATTCTTGTTGCCACATGTTGCTCTGTATAGGTACAAATTAAAATGTCACCTAGGCTGTTTAAGATAAGTACTCCAGCAAACTTGACATGTATAAGGCAATTTTTTTCATAAATTTGTAATGAGTATACGGAGTGTACATGTATGAAAATATTAATGACAAAATGCCACAGCTTAACCAGTGTGATATTTGTAAGTATGTTGACATATTTATTGCAAAACACCAGATCCCAATTCTGTGATAGAAAACAGTTTCTCCATGTTCACACTAGATATTCTCTCTTACCTTTCAGTTTTTAATCAAGAAGCATTTCTGATTGGTCTAACACTTTTACAAGGAGTGTGTGATGATTCACAAAAGATGAAGTGAGTTTTCATTACTACTTAACCCTTATCCTGCCAGCCCTTATGTACTAAGTACAAGATGGTTGACCTATTTCAAAACAAGTTCACTCCAATGTTTCCCACACCAGGAGGATGTACTATATAATAATGTGGTTATGATGATTGTACTAATTATGGATCCAAATATACTCTGTTGCATCAGACCTCCTACATTTGTGCACTTTTGGTGAATTCTCTAAAAGTAGCATTACAATATTGTCTGCGGTTGACAAACATTTCTGGGAAATTTAAAGGATAACCAGTCTCATTAAAATGTTGATGTCCATTTTTAATATGTAGGTATGGGGACTTGTTTGCTCTAACAGAGGAACTGAGTGAAAGTTTTCGTACAACTCGTAGCAAGAGGAAAACAACTGGTAGTTATACACCAAGGTCAACCACAACCTCCACAAGTGGTAGAAATAAACCTATTGAAAGTTCCTCCTCAGAAAGTGAAGTAAGTCTGAGAAAAAACATTTGTACTTTTTACTTTTTGTTTGAACAAAATCTGAAAACAGGATCTTGTGGGTTGACCCCAACCCCCATCTGTGCATCCGCACTTATATATCAGGCATGATTTGACTGATCAGTTTCAAACTTCACATATACATCATGCATATTTAGATTCATATACACGTCCATTCATTCAATATCCATTTCTCGTTAGCTGAATGCTGGCCATTTTTATACTAAAGATTTTACAAAATCAAGCATTTCTGTCATTCAACTGGATCTAAGGAGTATATGGGTATTTGTTTTAGTGAATGCTCTTCTTGGTCATTTTCTCCTATATGCCTTGACCAATCATGTTAAAATGTTATATATGTCTCATACATTCGTCCATTCTGAACATGTTTGTTTGTTCTTACTCAATCTTTTATTTTAACTAGGATGAAGATGTGGTGCCTCCTAGATTAAAGAAACGAAGGAAACCCACTGGCAATGGTTCAGATAGCGACTAAAATTTGTATAGATTGTAGATTTTCAATGTTATTCTGAAATGCGTGATTAGTCACAACCCATCATCAACAACTCTTATTATTCACTGTACATTGTACCACCACTTTGTTGTAATGCTAGTCTAGTCTCAGATCAAGCTAGGTTGGTCACATGGATATATCTTCATGTAAATGATCTACAAACAAACTGGTATCAATATTTTATATTTCATTGACACCAAACGAAATGAGAAAAACTATACAGTTTGGTGTTAGGACTGTTAAAGCTGTTCATTTTAGAAAGGTTTCCAATTAATGCTGGGACAAATAATGTAGTAGAAGGGTAGCTTCAAGTTTGGTTAGAGTTGACTGAACAACGCCCTCTATGGTGATCCATTGCTATGAAAGTGATTCATTTGTGATTGCTACCATTTAATATTCAGATACTTTGTACAGAGGATTGTGTCTTGCAGTCACTTTTTTTAAAAATTCTTTTTATAAAATCATGTCTGTATAATTCCAACTGTTACAGAAATAAATATATGATCAACATTAGACAATAGTTTGTTTATGCAACCTCCCCCTGTCCATGCCTCTTGGTACTAAGCAGGCTCTTAGATCCAGACAACTTTTGTAACGTAACTTTGAAGTTTACAAACTGTTTTTGGTATTTCTCAGACAATTTTATTCTTAACATACTGGACACAACTTGTGTGGTGGAAGTGTCCATAAAGGTTTTATACCTCATAGGTGTAATTACAATTTTATCACCTTGTGACCTCAAACATACAATGTAATTTAGAATGATGTGTTTTGATTGATGAAAGCTGGGCGCTCACATATCAAAGCAACTTTTGTGACTGATTACTTTTCAGCAAACATTTGTAACATTCAGAAAAACATTTGTTCGCACCATGCAAGACAGTTTTTCGTCTTTCAAAGCAACTTTTATGACTCCACAATCTATCATTTTCTCTTTGCAGTCAATGTTTGGATTATTCCAGACAACTTTTCTGACTTTCAAAGCCATTTTAGTCACAATCTATTTTCAAGTTTTTTATGACATTCCAGCCAACATTCCAATTGTTCTGACATTACTGAAAACTTTTCCCCGACACTCAAAGCAACATTTACATCACCACAAACTTCTTTTATTCTTCCAAGTCAACTTTTTTTACATCCTGACTTTCAAAGCAACCATATAAACTACCGGTAGTTGTTGGTCTCTCGTCATATTTTGTAACTTGCTAGGTAATAGCTCGATGTAAACAAAGGTAAATATTATCACCTTGTCTATTGAGATTCTTGATATTAAATAACGAATAAGAAATCGTGATACAAACAATACTGGCTGTTGTTCATCACACTGGTGATGATATCAATTAAATAAGTGCTGGTGTATGTATTGATAATAGTATAAAAACATTTTGAACTTCCAGTACCGTAAAATCTGTATTAGAAGCTGCATCCCTAATAGAAGTCGCACCCATTCTTTTTGAACAAGTCATTGAAAATGACAGTCCCCGTTAATTTTTTGAAAGTTCTCTTTGTGCTCGTCATATTAAAGCGGAGAATTGTTGCGAGCATGTCCTTGAGTTCCAAGTGGCGTATACAACAGATTGTTTATTTCCATCAAAACACGTGTTCCATGTAGTAGTAATATGGCCAAAAATAAAAACTGCAGTTATTCGGCCATCTTTGATCTGATTATGAAACACACTGATATGTATGATGTATGTGCCAAATACGAATGAAAATGATACATAAATAATGGAAATATAGTAGTAAGGCCAAAAAGTCAGATGGCTGTCAATCAGCCATCCTTGACCAGATTTTGAAACAAATTGTCATCGACATGCATCCCAACATGTATAAAGTACATGTACCAAGTATGTGCCAAATTTGAATGAAAACTGACAGAGCACGTCCAAGATACCGTATAAAAAAACAAACAAGATGCCTGCCAGTCGATCATCTTTGATCCAATTGCGAAATAAATCGTACTAGGCATATGCAAAGAATGAACAGAATCGGTCAAAGGGATTCTGAGATATGACTCCGCACGGACGGAGACCGAATTACAAGTCTCCGTTTTCGGACTTCGTCCGAACGGGGACTAATAATTGAGAACCAAAAATTAATCATTTATCATATATATATATATATATATATATAGAGGCACTAATAGAAGCCGCATCCCCTTTGTTGCATTGTACCATTTTAATAGAAGCTACAGGGTCTAATACAGATTGTACAGTTATACGAATTTCAAGGTTCATTATGAATAGTCTACAAGTTCTCAAATAGCACAGCAATATATCTAAGCAAACTTTTTATGGGAACATACAGACCAGAGTTATGGCAGGGAAAATATACTTGTCACTTTTTGATTGGAAATTTACTACATGATGAAAACAACACATCTGAATACTGTATTGAAAAGTATGCTACTGACAAATAGAAATGTTTCTATTTAAAAACCCAGAAGGAAAATGCTCTGTCAATGACAATCTTTTAATGTAAAGTATTGATCTGGAGTGTAGGTGTCATTAAAACACATGTGAACATTCCCTGTGTCACAGGATAGGCATTTTCTTTGCCAACTCTGCAGAAACATTTGCATAGAAATAAAAATGGAACAGATTATCCAACCATTGGACAGAATTTAATTTAGGTTACTACTCTTGTCTACACTAATCCTGTTCAACATCGACGATGAAGCAGTTACAACAATCCTAGCAAGTTTTGGATTCTGGGAAAATTTCAGAAAAACAAATTTACTAGAATTAGTTTCTGGGCCTTAAAATGTATGTGTGCATTATGTAGTCCTATATTAGTTGGACCACCAAATTTACCAAACATTTTCAGCCATGATGCATGTGTAAACAAATATGATACATTTCACTTGTGTAGGAGCACAAAGACTGGTTTTTAATGTACCGATATGGGTTGTTTTATATGCTTGGGAAGGTCAATCTTGAAAAAATAATCTCCTAGGAATACACTAATATTAATAATTATCACAACAATACAAGATATGGTAGCTTGAATTTAATTAAAATATAAAATCAAGGCTTCCAAAACGATCACTGTAGTGCGGTGTTACATATATATTTACAAACATTAATAAATAAATAATAAAAAATATTATCGGCTCTGGGCCAGTATCAATTCAACGATATTGACAATTAAAATCTGGGTGAAAGAAATTCTGAGGTACAGATTGACTCGCTATTATCCTCTGAAAATATAAGGCCACTATGCAGTACTTATAACTATTATGGGGCTTTCCACAATAAACTACATACCAGTTATTCTGGAAGACCTCTGTACAGTTCCTATTATGGGGCTTTCCACAATAAACTACATACCAGTTATTCTGGAAGACCTCTGTACAGTTCTTCAATGCATTACTTAGCATTGAGTCTACGATTGTCTATATAGGCAAGGGGATTTTATGGAAAAAATGACAGACCAATAAAGACAAAATCAGCTGTATATGCATTTACAATAAATTGCACATATTAATCTTTTCATGTGATTACTTAAACAACCAGGTTGCTAGGCTATAGTAGAACACAACAATGTTGATCTTGCAAGAAAAAGAGGGCAGATTTATTTCTGGACATCAAAAATTTCGGATTCATAAAATATGAAATAATTTATTCATACCCACCGATGAAACAGGATAAAATCTAATTTTTGCAATGTATCCATCAATACGTATATTCCAAGACATCTATGGCAGGGAAATCGGATAATACTTTGAGTGCCAAGTTTTGTTCATTCTTAAAATTGATGTAAATTTGTCAAATTTTCAGTCTTAATTTTTGGACTAAAACAACTAAATTCAACATTGCTTTAAGTTTGTGATCAAAACATTTGAAAACTTTTGTCAACATTTTATATGAATGGAACTATTTTGTGGATGGTTACTGAAGTTGACTTTGACACTGAAAAGATTGAACTGCAAATCAAACCCATGTATTAATGCAAGCACACATTCAGCAACATAGCAACCAGAGAGCTTAACTTTGTAACATAGCAACCAGAGAACTTTTGATATTGGTACTTTACTAAATTCATGTTGAAGGCTTTACACCAATACAGTATAAAAATGCAAGTGGGCTTTGCAGATGCCGTATTGGTAAGTTTGTAGTTTTTCCAATTCACATAAAGCTTTTATAAATCTACAAATTATACAAATAGTTGCCTTTCACTGTATGTCATGTATACTTTGCATACCAATTATACAAATAGTTGCCTTTCACTGTATGTCATGTATACTTTGCATACCAATTGTACAAATAGTTGCCTTTCACTGTATGTCATGTATACTTTGCATACCAATTATACAAATAGTTGCCTTTCACTGTATGTCATGTATACTTTGCATACAAATTATACAAATAGTTGCCTTTCACTGTATGTCATGTATACTTTGCATACCAATTGCTAAGCAACATGTTAGCATCCTTTGTAAGTGATTGGAGGGCATGTGGCAATGAGAAGACTCGCATCTAGTGATTCCAACCATACATTGTATCCATGTTATTGTCTCAAACAGTTTGTAAACCCTCTCTTCATCCTTTATTACAGTGAGATGTCAACACATTGAAGTATATGATGGATCAAGTGACTTGTCAGAAAAAATAGTTTCACATCATACAAAATAATATCTTCTTGCATATGACTAAAGTTCATCCCAGGACTGTATACATTCAACGTAATGTCTGTAAAGGTACACATCCAAGTGATAGTCAAGTGTGCAGTCCAAGTATTATAAACAGCGACCACCTATTCACACTTATTCCGCCTTTTCAATGAAAACAGACTTCTTATTCTCTGCATTCGTTGTTTCTTTTTAGATCGTTTTTCCATTTCTAGAAGTGCTTCTTTTTCTTTTCTCCTGATTTCTCTTACTAGAGTGTGAAAGACATCATCAACAAAGTGTCTCAAAGCTGCGGAAGTTTCAAAAAACGGGCATCCAAACTCCCTTGCTAACGCTTCTCCTTCTTCTTTTGATACCTATTTCAAAAAGTCACAATAATATGTGTATTATGTCTGCCACAGTGAAAATCAATAAATTGCTGAAAATCTAAATTAATATGACACTATATATTGTATAAATTATGCATGCCAGATTCCTGTTCATTGTTATACAACAAGTGGTTATTGACTTCGATTTCAGAATAAAACAGAGAACAGAATAGTGTTTTGAACATAGAAACACCTTTGTAATTTCATTAAACGTTCACTACAAATATGGTAGTACAAAAGTTATCAATTCTCTTTTCACATTCTCCAATCATTTCGGTGGAAACACTTTTCAATTTTACATGCTTTATAATAATTACTGTACAAGAAATCTTTTCATTAGAAGTTGATAACTGATTAAATTTGCGCACAACATGAACAATCAAAGAAAGCTTAGAAAGAACTCCCATGTGCCGAGAGTATTGGAGACACATTAAATATAATTCGAAATTACTTAGCTGAAAACTAATTATGCAAATCAGAAAATTAATATGACCAGATTTGAGTGTAAAACTAATGAGGTCTGCGCAATGTAACAGAAAATCTATGTCTCCAAGTTTAATTGACATGTGATTAGAACCAAAAAATTATGAATTATTATGCTTATTAGGGAATTAATATGAACAGATTTTTACCCCAAACTAATTAGGTTTGTACATTGTCCTAGAGCATCTTTGTACTAAGTTTCATTGAAATGGAATAATTAGTACCGTGAAAACTCCAAAATTTCGACCCCTCTAAAAATTCGATTGGCTATTTATTTGCCGGGTTTCGGTGTTTTATTTACCTCCAAATTTTCGACTCCACTAAAAATTGCCGACTCATTCTTATTCGAAAATTGCGACCAGTTTTAGTTTTCCCCCAAACGAAAAAAAAACCGATGTGAGCGTTCAAACGGGACCTTCCTCGAAGGCATGAATCCGGGTTTCTGATTGACTGAGAGATTTTTATTTTATTGGTAACGAAAATATATTCTAAATAAACGAAGTTCAAATAAAAACG